CTTTCAGGCAACAGAGGACCCTAGTCCGCAACGTACGCTAGGACGCATCTCGCAGCGTTGTTTCTTTGATCAATCGACTTCATGAGAAGTACTCAGTTCGAGCAGACGAAGTTTTCATGTGTACTTTAAAAACTGTTGGCAAAAATATTGAAAAGGGTGCGATTAAGGCTTGTTTTAGGTTTTTTGCGTTACTACGTATATACCATTTTCATTACAAATTCACCACTTTTCGAACCATTCACCACACTTATTAACCCGGGCAAACTATCAGCCAGATCATGCCAGACACCACTGTGAGCCCCGCCCCGACGACCCTACTTGTCAGCGCAGACATAGCGATTTAAATCTCTTTCTATTAACTTCTGCTCCTGTCCTTTTTCTCGGTGTCTTCGCGCGTTTCCACAAACACTTTGAAAACGACTGGGCATCGATACATGGCCGACTCCGCCCATCCTTCAGAGGGTTTGGCAATCTAAGCTCCGCCCCCTTTGTCACGTCCCCTTGCTTTTTGTGGACTTGCACACAATGTTCAAGTGATTCATGACTGATAAACGAGGAGTATAACATTAACTTTGAAATATTGAAATGAAATGGTTGGGTGGAAACAAATGGGAGGGCGAAAGAGCGTTTGGCCGAATACTTCTGAGCGGTACTGCATGGCTTTTTCACCAGCCCGCACTGATATACAACCGGCTGTGTGCGTGTGTGTGTGGTGTGTGTGTGTGTGTGTGTCTGTCTGTCTGTTCAAGAATCACAAGATCACAAGGACGCTGACAAGGGAGGAGGTTATCGAGGGCGCTTAGAATTTGTCAGCTGCCGCGAGCTTGAGTTATTTCCCCGCGCGCGGATTAAATACGGCTACATGTAAATTGCGGAGCAATGCCCCATAGCGAGCGCAAAAAGGCCTTATAACACTGGAATATTTGGCCCAATCATTCTCTCACATCATCTTGCGGTCTACCAAGGGGTTAGAATAACCACATAATTCGCGACCACCTTCGCAAACCACGACAGAAAACTGGTGAGCCTATGCATAGGACAAAAGAAACAAACACAAACAAGACATGGTTATATAAAAAGCATGCAAAACAGGTAAAAGAAAAGCGAAGCTGAAGACAGGGATCAAAAACAAAAGCACGAGCAATGACAAAATCAACAGGAATTCTGCAGATGATCTGGCAATAAACAATTCCATTCCGCTTATGTCCTACGCGCACATGAGCTAACCAAATACATTGTTCCATTTTGAAAAGGCTTTTCTTAGACAGCGGAAGCTTTTCTATCTCCAAAAAGTTGGTTGACCCATCCAACACTTCTCCTCTTCGACATTAAAGCCATTTCCGTTATAAGCCCGTAAAGGAACTCGGGAGCCGTTCTGGAGTAATCCTGTAACCTTGTAGGCCCAAGAAGTGTATGTTTTTGTGCCTACAATATACTGGCATAAAAGTATGTTAAGGAAAGGTTCAAGTAATGGTCCTCTCATAATAAGTAGGAGGAAACAGTGTGGGGAGCTTATGTGTTGTATTCTCGTCGTCCTCAGAAACACCGTTCAAGACCGCAAGTTCCTGGTAGGGGCGTTCAAAAACGGGAGCGTAGGTGTTTAGTGATTTATTGGTGAACAGAACAACAAAAAATAAACGAAGATGTGGAACAATGAGTCCCTCTCTTACACGGTTTCTCCAGATGGACGACGTGCAGTGTTGGAAGGTGGAAAGATACGGCTGTGGGCGCGAAGGCAGGATAGAAGTGTTGGGTAAGCAGACAAACTTCTTCTTCAGCGTTTGCCTGATCGGAGTGAATGCCGGCTATTTTCAAGTCGGTATGCAGCGTGTCGAGCCAGCGCTGTTTGGGACGCCCCTTTGGCCGCTTTCCTGGTACCTCGAATTCGAGAGCAGTTTTACGGACGGTGTCAGCCTTCGCGCGAAGTACGTGCCCGTACCATCGTTTCACGTATTTTCTAGGCTATGGGGGCTACAACATACTTCTTGTGCACGACATGCGGTCTGATCGCGTGACGCCCGCCGTCCAGCGCAACATCTTCATCTCCATCACACCAAGGCGAGCCTCAACTTCTTTGGTCGCGGGCCAGCACTCGGCACCATATAACGCGACAGGTCGGACGACAGTACGATAGATCTTTGACTTGAAACGCTCTGGCATTTTCTTGTCGCAAAGGATCCCAGACATGGATCGCCATTTAGACCACGCCGCACTCACTCGTGCGCTCACTTCCGAGTTCAGACTGCCATCGGACGCAAGTGCTGATCCGAGATACTTGAATGTTTCCGTGCGCTTGAGCACCGTGTCATCGATCTTAATGGAGCCCGGCTCATTTGGGTCGGTTGTCAGGTACTCGCTCTTACTTAACCTGAATCCAAACTTCGTCAGAAGCTCGGCCCAAGCTTGCACCTGCTGTTCCAGTGCGCCTTCACAAGCAAGCATCACATCATCAGCGTAAAGCAGGGTCCAAGGCACTTCCTTCTGAAGATCTCGTGAGGTGGCATGACGGGAAAAAAGAAGTGGGGAGAGCGCAGAGCCTTGATGTACCCCGCGGTGATGGGGAACTCCACTGAGACACCCGCTGGTGAGCGAACTTGGCTCCCTGGGCATGAGTAAAGGATGCGCACCCACTCAATGACCCCCCCCCCTCTGGTTCGCTCGCTACCGAGCTGTCGAGCGGGAGGAAAGGTTCATAGCACGTATGATACAAAAAAATCCCTCCCCCCATTTTATATATATTTCTATATTCATTTCTTTCCTCGGAAAAAATTTTTCCTACCACTTTTTCCGGAACTTCCCAGAAACTTTTCTACTTTTACTCAAAAATTTTGCTGTCCAGTGAGGGGTGGGGGAGGGGGTGCGTACAGTACAGATGAAACAGGAAAAATCGCGGAAAGTCAGCCAACCTTCTTCGGAAGGTCAGAAAGGAAATACGACCTCCCGCCTTGTAAAGTCCGTGAAAAGAAGAATCAACTATCGAAATAAATTCTTCTCAGCACAAATACGAGCCCCTCTCCCAGCAAACAAATACGACCCCCTGTCTTGGAATCCCAACAGCTATGTGCCCTGGACCGCGCTGACCCCGCTGACTGTAACCCAGTTCGTGCAGATGTATAAGTCCAATGCTCTCATTATAATAACTGCCTGCACTGTATAAGAGAACCATGTAGTGCACCCCAAGCACACGAGCCTAGAGTGCGTTTGGACAGAAGCTCACCGCGACTGTGGAAACAAAAGCATCAGAGAAAGCGGTAAGATGAAGGGAGGAGGGATCAACCGCTAAGCCACGAATCAACGTGAATGTTGTGGTACCAGTCAAGGGTGATGCATTGAATGTGATGGACTCTGCTATACGAGACAGCCATGACTTGCATTCAGTTCTACAACTGAGGCGGGCCTATATGGATGGCAAAAGCCTATGACAACAAACAGATCAGTGAGTGCTATAGGTAAAAGAACGGTCATCCTACATCCTACACATAATCCGCTAGGTATGCCTGTCTGTGGTATGTATGTCTGTCTCTCTGTCTGTCTGTCTCTCTAACTGTCTGTCTGTCTGTGACGAATTCCGGAGGCCATCCAATTAGCTGTAGGATGGTGATTCCAAGAAGTGATATAGGAACTGTGATGAATATTTACTGGTGTGAGAGAGAGAGTAATATCAGCTGATAAGACCCTATAAGAGGCGTCAGAAGGTAAGGGTCACCGAGTCCATAGCACTTATAACAGCAATAGTTGGACTTCATAGCCATAAGCTATGATGTAGGGTATGGGATGGAGCGTTATTGGGGTGTGACAAGAACTGTCAGCAGCTGAAAGAATTTCATAAGTGGAGTCAGTACGGGACGGTCACCATATTTATAACGCGGGACGCAGCATCAGACAGGCGTTGATTTCAGCAAGTTATACAGAGGGAGAGGTGGGGAGTTTGAACGGTGGGTGGCACACAGTGATAACAACGGATAGGGACGGACAAGGAATGCCGTTGTTGTTCAGTCAAAGTGCTGCAGTATCAACACTATATGCACTCATGCATTCTAAGCATGTAATGTCGAGCGGAGGAGGGGGAATATGTAGCTTGCCTAAAACAGGAAACTCGCGAAATCAAAAACCAGAGCCCTGAGTACATAAATCCAGAATTCTGAATTGTTAGTGGCATTTTTTCATACCAAAGATTACTGATGAGAACAAGTAACAAGGGAGCATGGAACGTACTAACTGTGCGATGTACAACCAACGTAGCCCTAATATTGCAATCATTTATGCTACGTCAGTGAATAGATTGCATGGTAATTGACTCATAGGTAGGCATTTCAGTGCAGGTAATGGGAACGGAATTTGAGCGATTCATATTGTGCTGTATTGTCCGCCTGTACTTTCGGTCTAAATCTACAGATATATGAAAAATGCGGGGCGAGGGAAACCTTGAATTTGAAAGAGTCGGACGGTATCGATCATAACTCGTTTGAACCGTCCTTCTTCTGCTGAAGGGAGAGATTGGATATGGGACCACACGCCTGAGAGGATAAACTGCAGATGAAATTAACAGAACTCTACACTATCTACTAAACTGCTATGGAAAATAAGAAAGAAAAGAAAGGGAGGACATCAGAATACCATTCAAAATAAGATCCAACAGTGATCTTGGCAGCGTTTTGCACCCAAATCGCCTTGATTGTAGATTTATGTTGCACAGAAATTGCTTTGATATAGTGTCTTAGTTTTACCTCTCATAGTTGGACCTAACTGCAATTTTCGGACTGATGTTCAAGCGTTGCGTAGATTGTAGCTTCGTGATGGTTCGCAAGGAGATATTTCAACTCGAATTCTTGCAGGAAATAAGTCAAAGTTATCCAAAACGAAATACTGAAATTATTAGTAAGAAACATAGACTTTATGCCAGCACCGGCTCGCAAAAGAGCAAACAAGCGCGCGCTCAAATCTGGAAACCTAGCTTCCTGATCACTGGACCACGCTACCACTGGGACTGCTACTGTTATATGTTAGAAAAGTTAATATGCACTGCACTCAACCATGCGATGCTGCAACTCGACTGGGACGATAAAGGCATCAACGTCGACGGAAAGAAGCTATCTAACCTACGATTCGCAGACGACATTGTCCTTATCAGTCAAAACTCAGCAGAGCTACAGCGGATGGTGGAGGAACTGAACAACGTCGGCAAAGCTATTGGCCTCACGATGAACCGGAGCAAGACCGAGGTCATGCGCAACGAGTGGGCAGATGCGTCACCCATCATACTCGAAGGCACTGCTCTACCGGATACCGACCGTTACGTTTACCTTGGCCGACTCATTTCCATGGACAACAATTTGCGCGAAGAATTATGAGACGCAAAAAATGCGCATGGACGGCAATGGGACGCATAAGAGAGGCCCAGCTCATTTCGGACAGGAAAATACGAGCTGCTCTATTCGACTCTACAGTACTGCCTGCACTTTGTTACGCATCCGAGACGTGGGCAGAGAACAAGGCGTCCACGCTGATGTTGACACGTGCCCAACGAGCATTGGAACGGACCCTGCTGAATATCAACCGCCGTGAGCAGAGATGTCGCAATCTGCGCAGCAGACATGCGCTCAATGTCAGGCATCCACGATGCCGTAGAATACGCGTGGAATGCAAAGAAGAGATGGGCCGGACATGTGGTCAGACGTACGGACGATCGCATCACACTCTGGTATCCGAGAGACGCGAAGCGCAAGGCTGGCCGCCCTGCAACCCGTTGGAGAGACTCCTTGAAGCAACTCCAAGAAGCTGCAGACCAACACTGGATCCAAACCGCTCAAGATCGCAAACAATGGAGGGAAGCGTGTGCTCGTCGCTGAAGAGAACCGGCTGAAAACGAGCGTCCAAGTATCCAAGTAAGTAATGTGATATTGCCCGTTCAGAGAATCACACTGCAAATCTGGAAACCAGATTCGATGTCAGTGTCTGAAAACGCACTAGAGCCACTTCAACCCAGAATCCTTCCAGGTGAGATAGAAGAAGGCAGCCTGAGTACTGTAGTGACTAGCACTACTTCCGTAGCGTGTAAACGAGAGGGCAGGGTTGAGTTTTGCCTGAGATCAAAAATTTTGTCTACAACTCACCCTTCTTATGACATCTTCTAATGTTCTTTCTCTAATAGCCTTCGCTTTCAGTTTTATGCAATATGAAACGAACCCCTTGGGCTGCCATACTAGTGACGTGTTACCTACTATAATTTGTTAGGTTGGATTTGTTATTTGTCTGTTTTCCCGTGAGTCTGGAGCAGTAATTTGGAGAGTCCGGTCAACGCTGGGATGGATAGGACATGCGAAAGCACACTTTATCCATGCCAACGTTGGGCTGGGCAGGCGCCGAAACCGAGCGGGGTCACAGTCAAAAACTCATTTAAAATCCGATTTCAGAGCAACTCAGAGATATGGAAAAAGAGGATTAAGGTTGGCAAGGGTTTGACATACTATTTGGGGGAGATACACCCGAAATAGGCGGAACGTTCTCGAGATGAGTTGAAGGTTCCCACAAAAGTCAGTGACTCGATTGTCGGGAGGGTCTAGAGATCATGAAGGAGATCGAGATGAGAAACATCTGGCAAGAGCTGCTCTTATCTGTGGTGTGCTGAGACCCGCCCACAGTGGACGGAGCGTGCACTCAAGCACGATGTCTTTCTTCCAGAAAATTGTACTTGCTTCCAGAGCACATCAGAGACAGGAAAAAGAAATGTCAGCAAGGAGTTAGCGGTCAGGAAGATTTTCGAGAACCACTTTTGACAGTTTCTCTAGATGCTAATCTACTTTCCGATTATCGCTACGCTACGCTTCCGTACTCACCATTATGGGAGCTTATTTGCAGTTGTCATGCGTTCCTGAGTGCGCGTGCCCTGAAACCGAGTTCTAGGGCATAGACAGTCAGACTTTTAGCCGACACTAGTGCATCCACAATAAGTTTAAAAGCACATGGTGTTTCTGGATGGAAACAAGTACAGAATCTGATCCCCGACCAGTCACGTAGTAGCGGTGCTACCCCCTGGGCGAGCTTGGTCATAAACTGAAAGCTCGTAGGATGATGACGAACAGCGGCTTACTTCACGAAGAACTGATATCTCTTCCTGGCGAATAGGAGACTCATCGTCTTTGGCATGCCTCAGAATGACGGATGGTAAGCGAACATCGAATAATGCCGCTGAGGTGGCACAAAAAAGTGCGTCCAGAATCGGACCATCAGAGTTAAGGATCTGGAACGAATTAAGAAAGCTTTGATTAACATGACAAGTACAAACTACTAGCGAGCAAGAGCTTTCTCACCTGTGCACGAAGAGTGAGCTGCCAAGTGATAGATATTTTCTCATCAATTAGTTTCACGAGCAAAGCAGAACGAAGTGAAAGTGATTCGTTAGCATAAATTCTATTAAGCATTTCGGTCATATCGCTTATTTGTGCCTAAAGTGTGAAATAGGATTCCACTGACATCAATGAGGCTCTGAATCCCGTCAATCTTTGGTACACGTTCCAGTAATACAAACAGGAACTGTTGCACTTGCAACTGACCTTCTCAAATTCTTCTGTAGTTTGTAATCCCTTCTACACAAGTGAATATATATCTTCACCTCATACATGAAAAGAGATATAAAGTCGAGTCGATTGACTGCTCAAACAATCTGCTGGTTTGGAAAGCTGGATGACACGTTTGCTGATGAGCAAGCAAATATTGACTGCTTCGCTTCCAGAAGCTTCTCCGTTCCGTTCCAAGAAGACAATTAGGTCATTCTTAAAGGCAGCGTCCGCGTTCAGTTGAGATTTTCCTCTCCCTTCGTGAGCAGGTAGTCAGGTCCGCTGAGGCAACAACTACACCACTTTCGCGGCGCAAAAACGCGTGAGGAGAGCCACGATGCCGTCGTTCTTATCATTGACCCAACCTACAATCATTCATTTCTAATGGTTACCTGATGGTGCGGTTGTTCCATTGCTGCTTCTCTCCACGTCGAGTGGTGAGAGTGAGGTGATAAGGGAAAACAGCTGATATCAACAAGTGAGAACTCGTGCGACCGCACCTTCTCTTCGCCTTGAGCACGTACAACCTCAATTAAGCAAGGGGTTCTATATAGAGCCTTTCCTATGATTTCTTTCTGATTTTTCTTCACTAAGGGGTTACTTGCTACCTTGTTATAAGTATTTGAGCCGCATAACTCATCAAATTTGAATGCGGGCTCAGCCTTTAAGGAGCTTTTGTAAATGCTTTTTTTCACCAAGTACACGGTCGCTGACGAACTAGGTGAAGCAGCTGTCAGATGGCGTTATGTCAGAGCGACTGTGGTAGAATTTCCCAAGGTAGAACCTCGAGCAGTGTCATTTTCGATACGTGTGGTCCTGAGTTGTGGCGGCTAAGAGCGCTCCGCGCTTTCTCTTTTTCGTGTCGTGTGAGACGCCCATGGCGGTAGTGAGAAGCTCTTCCATTGACGCGTTGATAACAAAGCATACCATTATATATCTTCAGCTAAATCGCAGGAGTAGTAGAAGGTTGATGTCCACGGGGGATAGTGATATGGGAGCGTTCATGAGTGGCAGAAGGTGACAGCAAGTGATTGGGGCTAAAAATGTGCATTGCCGCCGTCTCTATCTAAGGTTGTAGAGGTTTTATACTATGAAATCATGAAGGTTTCGTGTTAGGGACATTGATGACGAGCTTACAGGTAGCATATCAGTTGATAAGAGTAGAGAAGGGGGGGGGCTATCATATCATTCCTCACGACCATACTGCCAGTCATCTTGGAAGGCTGTTGGCGAGAGGTGAGCAGTTATTCCAGGCAAATAACTGAGGTCATGCTGCCACAGGCAAGCGTCAGGCGATAGATGGCAAGGATCCTCACACTCTACTGTACCCCACAGTTGCCTCACCGTACACCGGCCTCACAATATTTCATCCTCCGTTTGCAGTCAATTTCAATAGAGCACGCTGGTAACCACATGAATGGAATGGCTCACCTTCTTACTTGATCTATAGGACTGCACGCTCGGTAGCGACCTTTCTAGAGGATCTAGCTGCTGGCGCATCCGGAAGGTTCACCTAGAGACAGCTCTTTCATGACCAGTTCCAAGTTGTTCAACCACTGCGTATGGCGGAAGTGAACTCGTAGACAGCATCCACACGAGCTCCCCCCTCGGGATAACTTTTACAATTTTCGGTGAGAGTGAGGACCTCTATCATTTGTGCATTCGGATAGTCAAGTGCAGTGGATAGGTAGTGAGTTGATTCCTAGTATTTGGTTTTAATCAAAGAACGCTGCAGGTCCAAATCCAAGGGAGATCCGGATCCAAATCCGAGGCTGGCCCCCCAAACGATATTTGTCTCCTGAGTAGAAGGTACTTGAGTGAAAGCGATCGTGCAATGAAAGATAGCATCAGGAATTTAATCAAAGCAAATGCCACATGTGGCTCTAATCTTGATGTGATTCGGGTGAGATCCTAATATATATATAATTCGCTAAACATGTCTGCCATTGGGTTGTGTGAGTGCGTCTGTCTGTGTGTCACGCAAATTCATAGCGCCGGTCGCAGTAGCGTGGAACATTGGTTTCAAGAAGTGATGTAGGCGGTGTGACGGGAACACTATTGGTGGGTGACAGGAAGTGATATCAGTTGATAAGATCCGATAAGAGGCGTTAGAAGGGGGAGGTCACCATATTCATAACGCGGGTGACAGCATCAGTTAGCTCTTGATTCCAGGATATAGGGTGTTGACCAAGGACATCATAAGTGGGTCATATAAACTGTACCCTGCTGATAAGATTCGATAAGGAGAGTAAGAAGAAGGTCACCATATTTATGAGGCGGGTGACAGCATCATCTGGCCCTACAGGGGGGGGGGCAAAAAAGTCATTTTGCCTCCATGACTTTCAAGGCGCTATAAGTTACACTTTATTAAATTTTTATCGGACATTTTTACTACCATATTAAAGAGCACATTAAATACTATAATGATACTCCGCCACAGCCTTCTGGAGGAGCGCCATCGAGAGATTCGGCCGCGCGAAAGTGAGTGGGTACCGGAGTTGAGCGAGATCGTTGATTTCTCCGCCACTGTAGACCACCCTGTTGAGCTCCGCCCGAACCGAGTAATTGAGGGGGTTTAGTTCAGGACCCCCGCTTAAATACTCCATCTTTTCCAGGTACTCGAAAGTTTTTCCAACGCCCTTCGATTAAATGTGTTGTCACCCCATCCTGTAGGCAGTACCAATCCTGTAGCAGTACAAAGTTTCCAAGAAGGTACGACGACATGAAGATGGGATATTCTCCTCGAGTTGCTCGATGTAGCCACCAGCGCACACCCTCAGTCTGGGGCCCACGAAGAAAATATCGGTTCATCCATTCCAGGTACGGCCGGTCCACACCATCAACCCGCGCCTTGGTGAATGGGGTGAAGATGATGTCCTGGACCGTAGCGACGTTGCCGGAGCTGCTCGATGTTGAGGTCTTGCAGATCAAGAGTACTGGTCTCCAGGTAGCTATCCATGGGTGATTCCATTCAAGAAGTTCCGCAGCTGTTTGGAGGCCACGTGAATTCCAAAGGCGTTCTCCACTCAGGCCGCGACTGGAGATGACTTCATATTTTGGTGTACATGAAGGTGAATGGCGGCAGCCGGCTCCTGCTTATAGAGGAAGATCTTGGGTATCTTCCGCCCTGGTACTCATATCCACTTCCTCTGTCTGGGCTGCGAAAACTTCGCTCATATGTGACTCGGCCGGAATGACTTTTTTGGCCCCCCTGTAGATTTCAAGATATGATATAGGGTATGCGCCAAGAACATTATTGGTGGGTGACAAAAACTGTAAGCTGCTATAAGATTCGATAAGGCGCGCTAGAAAGGTGAGGTCATAGTATTCACAGGTAGTTCAAAGGTGGTCGGGGAAGATTGGAGGTGCGAGATAAGTTATGATATAGTGTCCGGCAAAGGCTTATAGGAGTCAGCATCTGTTCACATGTTTCTATGCTCGCGACTGTACCTAGACTGACCCTAAAACAATGGGTAAAGGCTTAGTGAGTTGAGATGTTTCTATCCTTCAGCGATATAGTTAGAACGAACCACTCGAATCCTGCGAAAAGTAAAAGCCCAAAGTTGTTTGCCAGTGAGGAATGATAAGAGCCACCAACAGACGGAATGAGTGTATGTGAAAGGCTCAACGGAAGCACTAGGATGTAAAAACATTCCACTATGATTTCCATTCCCCACAATCCTATCAGCAGCCTCAACGTGGCGTGGGGGTGAACGGTTCGGACTGTTCCAAACCGTACCAATGCGGAGGGTGCCACGTCAGAGCCTGGCGAGCTACGCGTGGTTAAATTTCTTCTCGCCGAAAACAGTAATAATTATGGGCCTCATTCCCCTGAACCTGAGGGAACCACCGACAGGGCGACGTCGGCTGGGACCGCTCGGGCGAGGCTGCAAGAATCACAGGGCCAACGGAGATTTAAGTCGCCCAGGACTAGGATGACGATCTGTACTTTCAACGCACGGACGCTTGCATCGGAAGCTCACATCGAAGATCTGATGTTGCAAGCCAGGAAGATCAAGTACGACGTCATCGGACTGACCGAGACGAGGAGGCATCGCCCGCTACACGCCGTATACGAGACTGGAGAAGAACTGTTCCTCGGAACATGCGACAGCAGAGGCGTTGGCGGTGTGGGCGTCCTCGTCAACACGCACTTGGCCATGAACATCGATTCGTACGAAAGTCTGACGACCCGAATCGGACGTTTGCGACTGAGAAGATGTGGTTCAACTCCAGCTTTGACAATCTTCGTCGCCTACGCACCAACATCAAGCTACGACGAGGATGAGCTCGAAGCGTTCTATATGGAATTGGAGAAGTTCTACAAGGAAGATCATACCTTCTTCAAGGTCATCGTCGGTGATTTCAACGCTAACAAGGGAGGTCTTTCAGGTTGTGGCGCGCTTTTTGGAAATTTATTGCTTGTTGTAGGGGTCCATACAAGGATCACAAAAATGGGTTTCATTTTTGCTATGCGTTTCTGGGTAGGTCAAAAACTGAGTGAAAAGAATTTGACAAGAATGGGCGGTTTTAACAACCTTAATGGGCTCCGTTCTGCTTGTAACTTCGAGCATGCATAGTTTATGAGGTGGTCACTAATTAGGCCTCAAAATAGATTCGATTAAAGTCAAAATGTAAGTATCATGTGGTAACACACTTGGCATGCACCGACGCAAGAGTGATGTTTTTGTCAGCGCTCCCTTCATGACCATTGCTGGCGGATCGGATGGCGTAGCGGATAGCACGATGGATTCTGGATGGCACGACAATGCGGGACTCGGTTCGGATCCTCATTGCGGCAACAGTTTTGCATCTGTATCAACGCAACGAGACGAGAACATTTCCGGAAACAAGGTTCTCACACAAGTGGGTTT